AAAAAATGCAGACTGAAAATGTAAGTGGCGTGTATGTGTAAGAGTTTATCCAGGTTGGTTTGACAAGTTTTGTTAAATTTGCCTTTTTCGTTTTTTCCTATTTTTTTTTAGTTCCATTTTCGTCTTTTTTCTCTACTTCTTAAGTGATAGCCATTTTATCCTCACTCTTAAACGCGTTCGTGCGTTTTCTTCGTTTCATCATTAAAATCGGGATGGTTAAAAGTCACTCTTCGCAAGTTACACATTTGCAATGCTGTCTTATGATATCACTTCATTCTTTCCCTTAATGCGGTTCAGTTTTTTTTAAATGATGCAATCATAGCGTACGTTAAAAGCATTATTTGAGTTATATATATATTTATATGTGTATATTTTTTTTTTTCTCATTCATGTGAAACAACAGAACAAAATTGCTTCTTATTAAATGTGAAGACTGTGCAGTCCTTTTTTTGTTTTTTTTTTCGAACTGTTTATGTGTTACTCGGCACATTTTTTTCTATTTTAAAAAAATACGCATTTATAGGTACCTGTTGAGCGCGCAAATGTGTGCATGGGCGTATATAAACATATACGTGTACTTATAATGCGCATTTACCCTCTGTTGTAATAATTACAATCCTTTTCCTATTTTCCGTTCATCGTGCGTAGAGAGTAGGACACGCCTGTGTCTTGGAAACGAAAAGATGAGATGTTCTCACGCGAGATTAAGTATTTGCACGTCTTACACTTTTGGGCGAAATGTTTCCAGGAGCAATGGTTAGGAATTATTCCATTGGTGGATTCCCCGTTTGACGTTTGTTCACGCTGTTTTTTTTTTTTCCACGGCCCTTTCGTTTAATTTGTTGGAGGCGAGAAAATAAAAGGAAAGGAAGAAGAACTGGTATGAAAGGAAAAAGAAGTGGAGGAGGAAGCTCCCCCTTCGTAGTTGGCTAAATTGAGGTGACACTCGAAGGTTGTAAATCTGTGAACCTTCTCGTCAATCGTCCTTTTTCCTAGCCATTTGTGCTAGCATTTTTTTTATTTTTTTGAAACACCTTTTTGAGGAGTGTTCACATTTTTTAACTATCCTGCGCTAACCACGTAGGAGTTAGCCACTTTGTCGAGGAACAATCGTTGGTGCTGCCATCCCTCGCTGCCTTTTCCGCATCATGGGGAACAGTTGCAAGAAAGTCATACAAACCAGACGAAACAGAACCCCGCCTGACCAATTCAACCATCGCTTCGATTTCGTAAGCGATAATAACTCTAGTTGGAATAACATGAACTATTACAATGATGTATACTTACGAAATTTTAACCGAGAGAGAGAACCTTTAAAAGGAAACGACCACACATTAGCACTTAACGATGAAAGCAATTTCAATGCCAACAGTTCGTTGGTGTATATCGATGAGCTCTATGACATTTTGGAAAACGAGGAAAAAGTGAAGATAAAAAAAGTTGACAACTCCGATGTAGAGGAATTCCTCATTATAGAAAAGCACATTAAATTAAAAAGGAAAAAGAAAAAAAATAATCCTTTCAAAAAGAAAAAGGAAAAAAATGTGAAAAAAGAAATGAGCCATTCCTCATTAAGACACATAAATGGTGACAATAATGGGAATCATTTTGATGTGCCGTGCTTCCCTGGAGATAACTCTCTGAACAAAGAAAAAAATAAAATGAAAGATCGAGCATCCTCGAAAATTGCTGAGGTGGAAACCTGGTGCAGTTCTTCAAATGATAATAGGTATGATATATTCGAGGAGGACAGAAAGCACATGCTGAAGCAACGCCAAATGAACATGAAGGATGATCGGAAGATGGGTCCCCAAAATGGTGGCAAAAAGGGCAGGGATAATCATAACAATGACCAAAATGCTCAGGGTAAGTCCAACAGTGGCGCTAACAAGGACGCAAGTGATCAGGGAAACGGTCACAATCGTGGCAAGGATGATTTCAGTTTAACGTTTGAACCAAGTGAGGAGAAAGACTCGCAAAAGGGAAAAGAAACTGACAAAAAAGTTGGCAAAAAAACTTACAAAAAGGGTGGCAAAGACGCTGACAAAAAGGTTGGCAAAGACGCTGACAAAAAGGTTGGCAAAGACGCTGACAAAAAGGTTGGCAAAGACGCTGACAAAAAGGTTGGCAAATACGCTGACAAAAAAGTTGGCAAAGAAGCTGATAAAAAAGCTGACAAGGCTGCCAACAAAATTGGTGATATATTCCCAGATTGAAAGGTGGACTTACACGAACAAAGAAACAAGCAGAAAGACCAGGCGGACCAACTGTGTAACCCTGTCCCAGCTTCCTCGCCTCAGAAAAAGGAAAAATATATCACGTTATATAAATATAAGTTGCACCTACGTGTGGACGCTAATTCTTTTCAGCATTCCTGGTACGTGAGTAGTCGAAGAGGGTTAACCGTTTAGCCCTGTGAGAATTTCCTTTTTTAAGACAATCCGTTTTTCTTTTCTTTTTTCTTTTTTTTTCTTTTTCTTTTCCCCCGTCCACTTACTATTGCTACTACGAGCTACTTTGTCCCTTTTTCTTTCCTGAGTTTCAATTCTTTCCTTGATATTTCATTTGTTGTAGAAACGTTTGTGAAGTTTACATCGCTACGATTAGTTTAAATATTATAAAATATAATGATATACGCGTTAAAACAATGGGTGATATTTT